GCCTTAATCTTTGTCATTGCGTTTGAATGCTTAATCGGAAGTACAGCTCCCAAGAAACCGAAAGGTGCAGGTTCGATTCCCGCCTGGTGCAAAGAGTTTTGCCCACTACCTTTCGCTTTTTTGAAACTTTTGCAACGCGAACTGCGGAGTTAAAAAAGGAGTTAAAAACGAAACAGGTCAAATTTAGGCGAACAAGAAGTTTAGCTAGCTCATGCTCAGTAATGAGCGGTCTCGCCATCCTAATAAGAAAGAGCAGGAAGTACAGAAGAAAGTTGATGAGTTGATGATCAAAAGGAAGCTGATGCCAGTATACTTCAAACGTGCTCCATTTCGCACAAACCTGTCGTGCCCTGTAGAGCAGAGTGTTTCGGTCAAATGATCACCAAGTCGAGCTTTCAGGTTCTCGTCTTCAGAATCCGTAAAGAAATAGACCTCGAAATAATGATTTTCATTCAACTACTAAACGCTGTGATATACTCAGTTATGTACAATCGAGATTTCTCCTCTCAACTTCACTTGAAGCGGGTATGGTACCCTGTATCCATATCTTCTTCTCTACCGCATTACTGTTCTCTTTAAGCTAAGTTTCTTCTTCCTTTTCTTCAGTTCTGAAACTCTTCTAGATATTTCTCACACCTTTTTGTTTTTAGCTAATCTTTCACGTATCTGCTTCACAAAACAACTAGAGTCTTGAGTAATGCATGAATATCAAGGACCTGAATGTTCGCCACTGTTATTTTGGTAAATATTTCAATAACCAGAAATTTGTGCCGCACTCGCATAACTTTCATCGCCTACACTCTGTAGCTTGTCGAAAGCTTTCTCCGCAAAAGAAAATGGGTTCGAGACTTAGACAGCTCGTCGAATGCCCATCCCCCCTGACTTCATGCTCGTCAGATTTGTTTTGTGCAGGAGCGCTGGAGGTGGTCGAGGTTACGTGGCATCTGCAAATGGCCTGATTAAACACTAACCGACCGTACACCCTGGACTGCTTTGCCATGTGTGGTCTTGCTCGAAGGAAAGCTGCCACCAGTCCACACCACGATTGGGGTTAACTGTTGGCCGGTCAAAAAAACCCTAAATCCTAGCGCCGCCATTGGTAACTGGCTCCTTATCCACCTCCAGCGTTTCCTGGACGAAAAAAATCCAAGACAGTGGATAACTAGGGATACCTCAAGGGATACTCGACTTCAAGCCCCCCACTGGCGACCCTTCGGGAAGAAGGAATCGACAAGCCTCAAGCAATGGTGGCGAGTGGTAAACGAGGGGTGGTGCACTCCTATCCGAAATATCTACAAAATATTCGTCTCGGAAACTTTCCAACCGACCCAATACAATAAGAGTACCAACATGTTCAAGAAACTCGAAGTAATTCCCAATGTTTGCACAGCAATGTAAGGCAAATTGAATGCAAGTGGGAATATATTCATATCAAGTGCGTCCATCTGAGAAAGGCAAACAATCTTTGATGATAGTGCACACCGCCAAAAGAAAAAATGAAAGGACAACGTAAGACTCCTCACAGGATGGGTCATGAGTTTCATACTATGCAAAGGCTTAAAAAGAATGTAAGAGCATTGCCACGCATACTCGTTACTATTGATACCAAGAAAGCGCTGTGCGAGGCATTTTT